ACCAGTTGGAAAAATCTTTCTGATATTTCTTCAGCTCTCTAAACACCGAACTACAAGAAGATTGGGGATACAAAGCGAGTAAATTGGTAAACAAGAATGCATAATTGAGATAATCCTTGCAGTAAAACCCTATGTTTTGACAGTTTTACTGTAAGCCTACCTAGAAAAGCTTCTGCAAAACTAATTGTCATTATATCAACCAGCATACAGGCAAAAAACTCCTAGAACCTAATGAGACCAAGATCCAAATGTTAGCCTTAAATAATTCCATTAATTTCTTAGATGATATTTTCTGTAATGTATGCTTACAAGGCCATTCAGTGTGATTACAATGTGCACAATCAATTGAGAAAACAATCGAGAACGAATGTTTAGGAGAAATCAACCGTGTGAAACCCGGATATTCCAACATTTCACCTAACTCTACTTAAAGACCAGTACTCTTAATGTTGATTTTGCACATGCTTTATTGTATACGCAAGCAACATTACTTGATATCAAACCATGAATGAATTGGTAAGTTGCATTCACTGGATACTTTTTCCACACAGAGCAGGTACTAAAAAGTTTGGGAGATTGTGATATTCATAAAATCTTTAGGTTAGGTTTCTTGAATTTCTTGTGTGGGGGACTAAAGTTGGAGAAAGGTACCTTCTGCACCATAATAGTAAGTTGACTCGACGCCCCAATGTTGTGGCTCTAGCACCATGCCGATGGCGACCATGATGAAGAATGGCATGTCCCGGAACATGAGTATAATCAAAGATTTCCTATATGTAGAATTATAAAAATTCCAAGGAAAAAGTTCAATACATACATGGTAAACTGTACAAAAATAAAAAGATATATTATAATGAAGAAAATATAACTAAAAAAAATAAACATGCAACTTACCATTTATCATATATTAGAATGATATCAAATATGATACTCCAAAGCATTTGTATTACTAAAAGATGAAAAGTGTGACCCTAAATAAAAAATTGTACCAAAAATTGATCATAAAGAATAGCATACCTCAGATTGTGTCTCTGAATTAACATGTTTATCACATCGAACACCTCGAAAGAACAAATCTCCACCAGAAAATTGCTTTCCCAAGCAAACATTCAAGGTGACTTCTGAATCATCCACATGAAAACCTGCAATATAAAGCTGTTGTGGATTCATAAAAGCTTAACGCGCTATAAATCTAGCGCACAGATGCTTAAGATGAAGACAGACATACATTATTGAACAAATCGGACACAATTATGAAAACATAAATAAATTGGACACAACTATGAAAACATAAATAAGGAGAAATCATATCATATCAGCTAGACCACCAATCAAAAACTGTTCTGAGTAATTATAACCAGCAGAAATATAGAGTGGAAATGGCACACAGAGAGAGAGAGAGAGAGAGAGAGAGAGAGAGAGAGGCTTCAGTACAAATGCTTTTTTTTAGTTTCAGTACAAATGCTTTTTTTTTTGAAAAACTAAATCCAAAACTTTTAGATGGATGAGCACCTACCAAGCTCTACATCCCTATCACTTCCATATTCAACAACGAAACCGTGATGCGTATCCAAGGTGGATCCGCCAACTTCCGGGAAGAAAACTACATAAACCCAGACAAACAAAAAAACGAGTATAACATTAGTTCTAATCTTTCACATATAAGAACTTTTTCTACTTACAATTTCACAATATTAGAGATGAAATACCTTTAGACAAAGGACGTATAAAATCCTCCATCAACTTCTCAAGCATGGTTTCCAGGCCAAAGTCATCAAGAACACAACCGTATCTATTCATTGTATTTGGTCGCATGATTCTGAAATTTGTCTCATGGACCCACCCTTCAAAATTTTCCACCTAAGAAATCAAAATTTGATAAGAAAATAGAAAAAAGTAGCTCAAAGAAAATTAACTTATATCCAAAATGATACCTCAGTTAATAACAATTCACAGAAATCCGGCTGAAGCATTTCAAAGGTATAAACTCCAGGAGAGGGTTCAGACAGTATATTTCTAAAGCTATCCTCTGTGTTCTCACTGATTGCTCTGAGAAATGAGGGGACAAAGAACTTTGCAGCTTGCAGCGTGTATAACTCCCTTCGTAGAGGCTGTAACGAGGAAGGACTGATTAAGAAGGAAATTATTTAAGTTTGTTGACATGAAAATGTGACTAAATGTCTTATGCAGAAACCTCAAGCCCTCAACTCCAGGAGTACCAAAAGAAGGGACTTAGCCTTAATGACTGCAACATCAATGGCAATCCATAAATGTGTTGTTTACATATTACAGCAAGTTTCTAAATGTCAACAGCATATTACCCATTGAACGCACCTGATAGTGTGTGATGATTTTCTGCCTGTATTCTCGATGTCGTTGAACCTGTTTATTCAAACAGAGAACATATGAGCCTTTCGGGAGCACAATAACTCCGCATTGACTAATTAACCAGAGCACATTGCCCCTGCCGGTTCTGACTATATGTTATTCCTACCCAAGCTTATCTCCCTCGTCTATGCCTCAGAATTTAACACAGGAATTGAAAATCCACATGAATCGTTTCTGGAGAATTCAAAGAAATTACACATTCTTCCGCAATCGTAACTGAAGCAAACACATTTCACACATTTATCCAAAAATTAAAATTCACATAACAAGAAATCCAAAACTTCCAAAATTCTAAGTCATTTTCAGTTTCCTGCATTTACCAAATTCCACTTCTAAAGAGATAGAGTCTCATGACTTACACGAGTGCGTTCGCTCTCGGGCGAGTACCGGAGGAGGATGTCCCTCATGTACTGGAGCTTGAGGTCACGTGAGGCATTGAGCATGGTGGGAGGCAAGTGGCGCTCCAGCGAGCTGAAAAGCAAGGGACTGAACTCCAATTGCTGCAGGTCCTCGTAGCTCTCCGCCTTGTGCTCCTTGTTCGGCATCAGCCTCAGCCTGTTCGACAAGCTCATCACGCAGTTCCCGTTGTTGCCGGCGCTCAGCGTTTGAGGCGGTGGCCTCCGTCGGTCCGCCGCGCCGTCCGTAGCCATGGCCTTCGACACTTCGTGAGAGATATTTGGGGATTTTCAGAGAGATAGATGACTGAATTGGCAGAATTTTGTTCGGGTTTTGAAGAATTGAAAATTGAACAAGATGAAGTTTGAGCTGCAGGTTAGGGTTTGGGGTTCCCCTGTGGTGTAGTTTGTTGGTTAAACAATTTACAGTGGACGCCCCAGCTGGATCTGAACGTAGGGTCCACTTTGATGACGTGGGGTGGTTTTTGTTTTAGTTGTGGGGACGCTCTGACGTGGAGTGTTGGAAACTTATCCACTAATTTTCTAATAGTGCATTACTTCTTTTTCCCATACCCTTTTTTTTCCACAATAATTCATCCCACAAATTTTTTTTTTCTTTTGAAAATTGTATTTGCAATCTTATGATCCGGTTAATTAACAAAAATTGTTACCCTTTCCACGTTTTTCCTAGAACATTTGTATAACTTCTCTAATAAAAATAAGACCACATGAGTCAATATGAAATAACTTCAACTGAGCTAATATAGCTCGTCGAATGAAAACATCATATAAAAAATAAATATCACCTTTTTTAACTGACATTATCAAGTTTTACTTAATTCATTATTTTTAGAAAACGGAAATTTTCATTCGCCTTTACCAAAGAGAAAATAAAGCCTCATTTGGCCTATGTTAAATTTGTCGGATTTGGATTCTCTCCTGAACTCAGCATCCTGAGCCTACTGAGCAAATCATATGGGCCATTGGATTTTGATCCAACGGTTACAAACAGGGAGCCCCTCTAAAAGTTATAATAATTGTAGTCATTTGATCAAACTCCAACGATCCATATTATTTGTTCAGTAGGCTTAGGATGCTGAGCTCGGGAGAGAATCCAAATCCAAATTTGTCATGCAAGCACTGAATCGTGAATTACGAAGGAGATGGGAGATCTTTTTCCTCTCCTCTTCATTGCATTGTTATTGTAGTGTTTAATTCTATTTTAATAAAGAAATATAAATCGACAGACAGTTATGCTAATAATGTATTAAAGATAAAGTGTAGAGTAAAAGAAAATAGAAACTTACAAGAGAGAAAATGAAGGAGAAATCAAGGTCATCTTTCATTTTCATTAGGGTACTTACTTATAGGCTTATGGTTTACATAAAAAGGTGCAAAAGTATTGAGATATTACATGTTCGCCGTAAGTGAACAAACACATAATTAACAATACTTACAACATTTTTTTAATCAAATTTAGAGATGCAATTGTCATTCTAAAAGTAGAAATATTATACATACATTTTCTATAACAAATAAATAAATAAAAGAGAGCTTATTTTTATAAGAAAATTAATGAAATGAGCTTGAAAACTTTGAGTTTTAACTTTAAGGATAAAATAAAGGGTAAAATGAATAGTATCATGATTGACTTTTTAGTGTAAAAATGTTTTTTTTTTTTGTTAAAATGAACAGTACAGAAGTCTTTCGTTAAAGTTCCCTATTTTTATTAGCGTGATAATAGTAATAGTTTAAACAATAATTATTAAAGAGAGGAGAGTCAAAATAAGTGAAACTCGCAAAAGGACACATAAACAATAACTTTTACAAATATTTTTAGGTCAATTACACTTTACTATCTCAAGTTTGAGGTCTATTACAACTTTATACAATATTTTCAAAACATATCATTTTTAATGTAAAAATATAATTTTTTGTTAAAATAAACAATATCAAAACCTTTTCATTAAAGTTATCATTCTTTTTCTCCACCTACCTAAAGCAAGCCGTATTTGCAAGTTGTCAATTGTTAGGAAAGGGTAAACATGACCCGACCCGTTTAATACCCCCAATTTCATTTTCCTCGGCAGCGTGCAAGGACAGTATAGTCATTTAAGAGAGGGTAATCTGGTAAATCACTCACTGATACAATATGGACCGTTTGGTAGGCTCGCACGTTGCTTGTCCGATTACAAGTTTACAACCCGTAAAGCCAACTGCGGACTCTCCAAAGAATAACGACGTCTTGTTTTTACATCACTCTCTCTTTCTCTCTCTCTTCGCAGTCACCTACCCCCCTCCCCGGTCAGACTTAAATCAGCAAGAAAACCAGCATTTTCTCGGGAAACAAACAACCAGTCGACCTCTCCAAAGTAATTTTGATCGTCTTTGCTCGAAGCCATGGCCTGTTCCAACTTCGCGAAGCTTAATGCGTCGTCGTCTCAGTGGATCGGACAGCAGTCCTTCACTCAGCGCCCAGGATCATCGACTAGCCTCGCTACTCTCCGAGTCGCCGTCCCGATCCGAGCCAAGGCCTACACCGACGAACTCGTCCTAACCGCTGTGCGCATCTCATTAACTTATTTTCAATTTGCTGATATTTATGGACAAATCGAAATTTTTGTTTGTTGATTTCATCGGTGGCTGAATGTTTGAATCTTATATTAGACTGATCTTTTTTTTATGAATTACTATTTATTTTTCTGTTATTCGATTTGATTTGTTTGTTTCAGTATTGATTTTAATTTTCACTGCTTTGTTGAATTAGACTTCTGTGAATTCGAACTCAAGATTGAAATGAACTGTTTCTCCACTATGATTGATTTGCTTAATTCAATTTATTAATAGGTCACTATCACTAAGTAGTAACTAGTAAGGTCTAGTCGTATTCCGCTTCACTTGGAAGTGTCTCATGTTCGACTCGCTCAGATGGTGACTTTCATACCTAATTATTATGGCCCGTCGTGTGGTCTAGTGCTATTCCTGTTCGATTGATTAATATATTTGTTCTTGTTTCTTATGGATTCTCTAAATAGAAGAAAAGTATTTGGTAACCGTTAGAAAGATTTTGGTTACTACGAATTGGAAATTTGTGTTTCTGCTTCCCTGTGTAGTTTGATATAACACTGCTTGTATTTGGAAGATTTTGGTTACTACAAATTGGAAATTTATGTTTCTGCTTCCCTTTGTAGTTTGATATAACACTGCTTGTATTTGGGTTTAATTGATTTCTCCGTCGCAGCTTTATTATTGTATCTTTTAACTTGGTTTTGCTTCTTTTTGGATGGTACAGAAAACCATTGCATCCCCTGGTCGTGGTATACTTGCCATTGATGAATCAAATGCTACTTGTGGAAAGAGGTTAGACTCTATTGGGTTGGACAATACCGAGGTTAACCGACAGGCTTACAGGCAGCTTTTGTTGACCACCCCTGGCCTCGGCGAATACATTTGTGGTGCCATTCTTTTCGAGGAAACACTTTACCAGTCTACAACCGATGGGAAGAAATTTGTGGATGTGTTGCGTGACCAGAAAATTGTACCTGGAATCAAAGTTGACAAGGTTTGTGGCCACCAGGACATATGTGTTCTATAGCTTGATTAATTTCTTGAAGTACTTGGAATTAGATCCCTAATTGTTATTCACATTCTTTTTCCGTGGTTCAGGGTTTGGTTCCCCTGCCGGGATCAAACAATGAATCTTGGTGCCAAGGCTTAGATGGATTGGCTTCACGATCTGCTGAGTACTACAAGCAAGGTGCTCGTTTTGCTAAATGGTAAGTCATTTAATCTCTTGTGGACATCTGCTCCATAGAGGTCCTTTTATTGTTCTGTCCAGTTGGTATAATTCTATTTGACAGATAAATTTATCCAAGTGTCGGGTTGAAATGTGTAGGCGTACAGTTGTTAGCATTCCTTGTGGTCCTTCTGCTCTAGCTGTTAAGGAAGCTGCATGGGGACTTGCTCGTTATGCTGCCATTTCTCAGGTATGTTCACTTTTAGATAGCTAGTTGGATTTTGCAAAACAATTTCTGTTGTAAGAGTGAAATTTTTATTGATATTTGAAACATAAAAATTAGATTTTTTTCTTTTTGTTTAAAAAGTCGTTAGCAATGAATTGGTAGGTATTTTTTATTCTGTGTGATTCATTGCTTTGAAATTATTTGCAGGACAATGGTCTTGTGCCCATTGTAGAGCCTGAGATTCTTCTCGACGGGGACCACCCAATCGAAAGGACACTTGAAGTGGCAGAGAAGGTCTGGTCCGAAGTCTTCTATTACTTGGCTGAAAACAATGTGGTGTTCGAAGGAATCCTTCTTAAGCCCAGCATGGTTACCCCAGGGGCTGAACACAAGGAAAAGGCTACTCCAGAAGCCATTGCAAAGGCTACCCTCACAGTTCTTAAAAGGAGAGTTCCTCCTGCAGTACCTGGAATCATGGTAAGATTGCTCGATCACTTTTGCAATAGCTGTAAACTGATGCTCCATTCCTCCTGTGCCTATCAGCTTCACACGCCCTTAAATATTAGTTCAAGAACGTAGTACTTATGATATTTGTTACCATTGACCTATGAAGGCTGATTCATATTTGCTCCTTTCACTTAACAGTTTTTGTCAGGGGGACAATCCGAAGCAGAGGCAACCCTCAACCTGAATGCAATGAACCAAAGCCCCAACCCATGGCACGTATCCTTCTCATACGCACGTGCCCTGCAGAACTCTGTCCTTAAGGCATGGCAAGGACATCCAGAGAACGTGGACGCTGCACAAAAGGCACTTTTGGTGCGAGCAAAGGCAAACTCCTTGGCTCAGCTAGGAAAGTACTCTGCTGCAGGCGAGGACGAGGAAGCCAAGAAAGGAATGTTCGTCAAGGGCTATACGTATTAAGCCGGAAGCCGGAGTCTGAGGCAACTCATTCCTCTCCTTGGAAGTCGAAACTCGAGACGGGTGTAATTTACAGCAGTTTCTTTTTTGGTGTTAGCTTATGTATGCTGAGTAAAACCTTTTTGATTTCTTTTTTTCCCGTTAGAAGACACGAGGGATTGAATAAGACCGGTGATAAAAGGATATGTTTTGCCGAATGTAACTTAATTTGATGACAGTTCTCTCACGAGAATTATTATCGACACTTAAAAAGTCGTCATGCACTTCTCCACACGATTACATTTTTGGACGACATTAGCAACTTATTTTCTTGTAACTGACGCGAATATTATAATTACTCTGAATTTCTCAATTTCGCACACAAATAAAACCACGTGAGTACCTAAAGACAGCATGCCCATCTTTACCTTGCACATAATTTGCCATCTAAAATTATTTTTATTTGGGAAAGTGAGAACGCATGTACATTTTCTTGTAAAATTCGGGCAGGAAGGGAATTTAATTTTGTTTTTTCTTTTTAAATAAAAATAAGAGAAGTGTAAATACCAGAATACGGAAAGCGTTTATCTGCAAAAGAAAAGAAGCCCAGATTTACCTGATGTAGTTTAAAGCCGTGCAGAGCTGACGTGCGAACTCGAAGTACACTTAACTCTTCGCTTCCGGAGGGGAGACTCATTCGGACATTCATCTGATCTCGAACACGACGCCACTTTGCTGCCTCACCGTGCATGCCCTCTTCTTTCCTCCTCCTCCACCCATCTCCTCCGTCTCTGCAATTCCCTCACGCGTCGTCGCCGTCGCCTTCACATCCCAAACTGATTGCCTCCTCCTCCAAACCCTCACTCCTGGCGATGAAGGATCGGCCTCCTTCCTCGTACGGCTCCATCTACGTCCCTCCCCACCACCGCCTCCGCTCCGCCATCACCACCCCCAATTACACCTCCACTACTTCAGTCGGCTCCAAGCTCCGCGACAACCAGACTGCTGCTGCTCTCAACCAGAGGAGCAGCACCAATGGTGCTCTGGCGTACTACCAGACTCAGCAGCAGCAGTTTCAGAAGCCCAAGCTTCAGCACTCTTCTGCTTACGACGACGGCGTTTCCGAGGAAGGCTCCGATCGCGAAGCTGAGTTGCCGTCGCATCCGGTGAGGTTTTTGTAGGTGAATTGTGTGCGCGTGTAGAGTTGTTAAATGGGGAATCCGCGTGTTTACTAAGTGTGAATTGGTAATCGGGTTTCATTTAGGGCTCAGACTCTGAAGTTTTGAGTGGTAGCTGGGGGTTTCAATTTTAGCTTTTAATTTGGTTGTTGATTGAGTCGTTTACCTAGTGCGATGTGAAATGCTGTGTCGATTTTCGATATGAATTGCTGGTAGTTTATCCGAAGCTTAATGCGATTAGGTTGCGGGTGGTCGTACCATTGCATACTCAAAGCCATTTCAAGTACGCATTGACCGATAAGAAATTCACTTTAGCCGGTTGGAATGGGGAGTTTTGCAACCACATTTTCCTCGCAGTATGGAAATAGTATATGATGGAGTGGTTTCCTTTGCCCTGTATGAAGTTCTTATCAGCTGCTAATCGCTCAAAATGGCATACTGTGTAGCCTTTTCAAGCCCTTACATCTTAAATTAATCCAAGGCATACCATTATGACTGTTTTATTAACGCATCAAAGCATGATGTTTACGGAGATTTCTATCCAGTTGAAAGGTCTAACATATATAAATGCTTTTGGTATTTGTTTATCTGAACATTGCAGACACAGAGTCCTTACTCATCTGATAATGAGTGGGAACGGAAATTAACCATGCTGTTACGTGACAAGGAGAAGCAAGAGTTGGTTACAAGGGAGAAAAAGGATAGATGCGACTTTGAGAAAATAGCTGCTTTGGCAAGCAGAATGGGGCTTTATAGGTATCTTTGGTTTTTGTCAGCATGTAAGTGTTTTGATAACTTTATAGAAGTCTGACCGTAAGTATCTTTGACAGCCATCTGTATTCGAAAGTTGCTGTGTTTAGTAAGGTCCCACTGCCAAACTACAGATTTGACCTGGATGATAGGCGCCCTCAGAGAGAGGTAATTCTGATTAGTTTACTTATATGAAATTGTAACAATAGATTAGCTAGGAATTTAGGACAGCTTCCCTCCACCTCATGATGTTTTTAATGCCTCAGTTTGTACTTCGTTCTACACGGTTCTTAAGTGAAGGTTTTTAAATTTGAAAGGTGACCTTGCCTCTTGGGTTGCTGAGGAGAGTTGAGGGATATCTTGGAGAGTTCCTTTCCCAGAAGTCTAGGACAAAGGAAGATCTTTCCTTTTCTACATCAAACAGTAGTGGCAGCATTGCTACTGACGAAGGGCTTTTTGAGCAACCAGAATCATTTGCGTCAAGTAAGGGTGTGATGGAAAAACTTCTTTGGCGGAGAAGTATGCAGCTGCATGATAAGCAACAAGCTTGGCAGGTTTGTCTTACCTTGGCATATTGCTCTGCACGATTCCATTTAGTGATAACTCATAAGATGAATCATGTGTTTTGTTCTATGTTTTTGTAATATTTTTTTCTTTCAGGAATCTCCCGAAGGTAGAAAAATGCTTGAACTTCGCAGAAGTCTTCCGGCCTATAGAGAGAAGGATGCATTATTGGCAGCAATTTCACGAGATCAGGTGTGATTAAATTTTCAGGAAAATTCATTCAAGATGTTTATTCTGACTTCCTAGTTTTACAATTCAGTAGTTGGCCTGTGTTCATGGTCGGTTCTTTTCTCTCGTAAGCGGTGGTCATTTTTTCTTTGTTTTATGGGTCTTCTCAAATGTAAGGTAGTAGATGTGGATACATGCTGAATCATGCAATTATTTTAATTCAATTATGCAAAGGTGGCCTGTAACCTCTGTGTATAATTTTTTGGCACGTTTGTACTTGTAGGTTGTTATCATATCAGGTGAAACTGGCTGTGGCAAGACTACTCAAATTCCACAATTCATTTTAGAATCTGAGATAGAAGCTGTTCGTGGAGCTGTTTGTAGTATTATATGTACACAGCCTAGACGAATATCTGCTATGTCTGTTTCTGAAAGAGTTGCTTCAGAGAGAGGGGAGAAATTGGGTGACTCGGTTAGTTTCCTGGCATACTTGATCAAATTATTACCCTTCAGATAAAAAGAACTGATGTTTTCTTTTTCTTTTAACCTTTCCAAGCATTCCTTTGGTCTTAGGTTGGGTATAAGGTTCGGTTAGAAGGTATGAAGGGGAGGGACACTCACCTTCTCTTTTGCACCACTGGCATTTTGTTGAGAAGATTACTAGTTGATAGAAATTTGAAAGGTATATCTCATGTGATTGTGGATGAAATTCATGAACGTGGAATGAATGAAGGTAAATTATAGCTAGATCAAGGCTTCAATTTTCGAAGATAAGGGGTGATTTCTCACTGGAAATAATTTGATGCCAGATTTTCTGCTTATTGTTCTCAAGGATCTCCTTCCTCTGCGACCAGAACTTAGGCTGATTTTGATGAGTGCAACCCTAGATTCTGAGCTTTTCTCATCCTACTTTGGTAGAGCTCCGATAATTCATGTTCCAGTAAGTTAAAAATTCCTGTGCATTTCCGTTAAAAAATGTGTATTTCCTTTTATGTTTGAGGGGTTTTATGCATGAATGCATATTTCTATTTGTTTCATGAGGGAAGTCTTATTGATGATTGCAGAGGTAGATAATAATGTCTAATATGGTTAGTCTATCTTTGTTGTTTTCCTCTAAACTAGGGTTTTACATATCCAGTTCGAACTCATTTTCTGGAGGATGTTCTGGAAATTACGGGATGCAAATTAACGCCATACAATCAGATTGATGATTATGGTCAAGAAAAGATGTGGAAAATGAGCAAACAGGCGCCAAGAAAGAGGAAAAGCCAAATTGCTTCTGTTGTTGAGGTATACAAGTTACTGCATAAACGGTTTTGTTCTTTTTCATTTTCTGTATCTTCTCATTTTTGCTCTCATGGAATGTATTCAGGATGCACTTAAAGCAGCCGATTTTAAGGAGTATAGTCCGGAGACTCGGGAGTCTCTAGCATGTTGGAATCCTGATAGTATCGGTTTTTATCTCATCGAGTATCTCTTGTGCAATATCTGTGAGAGTGACAAGCCTGGTGCCATTCTAGTTTTTATGACTGGGTGGGATGACATCAATTCTCTGAAGGAAAAGTTACATGCCAATCCTCTATTAGGTGATCCAAGCCAAGTCTTGTTACTAGCATGCCATGGTTCTATGGCAAGTACTGAGCAGGTAAATTTTTTAGTGCCCTGAGAATTGTACTATCTCTAGCATAATTTGTTTGCGTATGCTTGTAGTACGCTGTTCAGGCATGTATTTTTGTTTATGGTAATTAATTAATTAATGCTGCCATAATTTGTGTTCAACTTTAGTGAATGAAAGAATTACTACCAAATCTACTCTCTAGCCCATTTTCAAATGGTGGTTTCTCATGGTTTCTCATATTTGTATTGTTTCCATGTTGACTGCATGCAGAGGTTAATATTTGATGAGCCTGAGGATGGAGTGAGGAAGATAGTGCTGGCTACTAATATTGCTGAGACAAGCATCACGATTAATGATGTTGTTTTTGTACTTGATTGTGGAAAGGCAAAAGAGACTTCATATGACGCACTGAATAATACTCCTTGTTTGCTTCCTTCCTGGATTTCCAAGGTTTCTGCCCAACAAGTAAGGATGTGTTCTGGCTGAAGTTTTTTGTCTCTTAGATGAAATCTATTCCTAGGTTGTTGACCTACATCGTTGTGTGCACGCATGTGTGGTAGAATGAGTAGCAGAAATTATTTTTATAATTGGACAAGTTCCATTAAATTAACAGTTTTTCTTTATAATTCTCTTGAGATCATTAGAGTTTCTGTGTAAACAGTAAACACCCAACAGGGGCAACAGGCTATAAACGCTTATTTACATGTTGTTCTTTCTATATGTGTGTGCATGCTTATGTGATTTCATGTGGGCCACTTTGATTTTCCTTAATGTTCAGTACATTTCAAGTTTCAGTCTGTTACCTTGATTAATTACGCTCCTCTCTGCTTATATATTGTAGAGAAGAGGAAGAGCAGGACGTGTCCAGCCCGGGGAATGTTATCATCTCTATCCTAGATGTGTGTATGACGCATTTGCAGAGTATCAGTTACCGGAGATTTTGAGGACACCTCTGCAGTCTCTCTGTCTGCAAATAAAAAGTTTAAACCTCGGAAGCATTTCTGAGTTCTTATCTAGGGCTCTGCAGTCACCAGAGTTACTTGCGGTAAAAGTCTATTTTATATTTATCGACCTAATATTTTTTAACTTAAATCTTCAGTTGCACAATTTTTTGTTGCTGAAGGCTTATTGAGAATAGTTGTAATTTGCTTTTCATTGTAGCTCTACTTTCTTGCACTAATTAAGTTTGTTAATTCCTTAGCATTCAGTGCATATGCTTATTAATGTCTGTCATGATATCTTAGTGGCATATGGTGCTTTAGTTGCACCCTGCACACGTGCAGCTCAAGGCTTACCCCAAATTGTTCCTCCTGAAATTATGTTGTGCTTATTCTCACTCACATTTTGCTGCTTGTCTGCAATTCACATTTTTTCTCTTGATATCTTTTACAGGTGCAAAACGCCATAGAGTATTTAAAGATCACTGGGGCCTTGGATGAGAAAGAGAATCTGACTGTTTTAGGTGGGAAGATATGTCTTTATTCAATTATGCACTGTGATGCTTGCAACTCTTTGTAATGGTTGAGAGATTAAATTTGAAAGTCATAAACCTAATGCAGTCTAAATCACTTGACAGGACGCTATCTAACTATGCTTCCTGTGGAGCCAAAACTTGGAAAGATGCTCTTGCTAGGCGCCATTTTCAACTGCCTGGATCCAGTTTTGACTATTGTTTCTGGGCTTAGTGTCAGAGATCCTTTCCTAACACCATTTGACAAGAAAGACGTAAGCCACTCTCCATTCTCATTATATCTATCATGCTCTTTATTTCTTGGACAGAAATGGAGTGGAGGCAAATTGAGATAAATGCTTTGTTGGCTGAAGTTTTTTTTAGTCTTTTTGGGTGGAGGCGCAACATCGTAAAGTTGCATCAGATTTATAATTTGCCACTGTGTCATTATCATTAGAAACAATTTAAGGTTATTGTATTTGTTTGTCTTTGTAGCTTGCTGAGGCTGCAAAATCTCAGTTTTCCCGAGATAATAGTGATCACCTTGCACTTGTGCGGGCCTATGAGGGCTGGAAGGTTGCTGAAAGAGACTTTGCTGGATATGACTATTGCTGGAAGAATTTTCTTTCAGCACAATCGATGAAAGCTATTGATTCCCTTAGGAAGGAGTTCTTCTCTTTGCTTAGGGATACTGATCTTGTTGATGCCAACACCACCACTCATAACGCATGGAGTTATGATGAGCATCTCGTCCGTGCAGTTATTTGCTATGGCCTGTATCCTGGAATCTGCTCTGTTGTGGTAAGCACAGATCCATTTTCTTTTCCTTCCGCATTATAATTAAGCAGGATATAAGCTGTTCACTTCTCTAAAAATTTTATGCTGTCATTCTCCTCCCTCTGTTGGATTCATGATGGTTATCTCATGATTAACCCGTGTCTTACTAATCAAATTGGTAAGAAAGTTAAGTTAGCCACACGAATGTAACTGAAATTGCTTTATCAGTTTCAGTGTTTGTTCGTGTGTATGGTTTGTCCGATACACATAAGCATGATTGAATTCTTGTATAATTTTCTTGAGGACTTGCATAAATTGATATGCAGCACAATGAGAAGTCATTTTCACTGAAAACAATGGAGGATGGGCTGGTGCTGCTATACTCGGTAAGCATTCTTGTGCATCAGATTTAAGAAAAAGATGGCCCCAATTCTGTTTCTATTTAATCTCATGTTCTTTTTCATTTGTTTAGAACTCTGTCAATGCTAGGGATTCTAAAATTCCATATCCATGGCTGGTTTTCAATGAGAAGATAAAGGTGAACTCTGTTTTCCTACGGGATTCAACAGCTGTGTCTGACTCAGTGCTCCTCCTATTTGGTGGAAGTTTTTCGAAAGGGGATACAGTACGTATTTCGTTTCTGGTGTTTTCTGGATGTGTCAAGTAACTTATTTTCTGATTGTGGGAGTGGGGACATACTTATGCATGCTCGATTATGTCTATTTTCTGTTATCGTTATTGCTCCTTATTTAGTGATATAGTGTGATATATTTCCTGTTCTGGTAGGATGGACACTTGAAAATGCTGGGAGGATATTTGGAATTCTTCATGAAGCCTGCTGTAGCAGAAATGTATCAATGCTTAAAAGGGGAACTTGACCAGTTAATTCAAATCAAAGTAAGTGAAGCTATTACGAACTTAGTTTCTCCTAAGTTTTGACCTGATGGAGCTCTGTTGTTTCTGTTCTTGTAGTTTACTTATTTATTATGTATAAATATATATTTTATTATTTTAGGTCTCTTTCTAATTTACTTTCCCAGTTGCCAGTTGATGTGAGGTTTGAATATATTTTCTCCGAATGTTACCTCTGGCTAATGTCGAATATTGTGAATCCTGAACAGCTACTGAACCCCAGGATGGACACACATAGTTACCATGAACTTCTTTCTGCAATGCGGTTGCTGCTTTCGGAGGATCAAGGCGAAGGTAGATTTGTATTTGGCCGCCAGGTCCTTGCACTCTCAAAGTCAAAGCCATCTGTGGTGGCAGCACAGCCAGCCTTAGTTTCAAGAACTGAAAGTGGACCTGGGGGTGACAATTCTAAGAGTCAGCTCCAGACATTGCTCACACGAGCAGGATACAACGCACCTACCTACAAAACTATGCAACTGAAGAATAGCCAGTTCCGAGCTACAGTGGAGTTTAACGGAATGCAAATTATGGGCCACCCGTGTAACAACAAGAAGAGTGCAGAAAAAGATGCGGCAGCGGAGGCCATTCAGTGGCTGGTGAGTGGAACACAAATGGGCCATGAGGACATCAAACACATGTCAATGATGTTAAAGAGAAGCAAAAAGGACCACAATTAAATAAACTATTTGCCGATTTTCCCTCTCGAAAAAGGACTCTATGAGAGGGCGGTGAGCACAACTTGTGGTGCTTGCTTCGGAGAGACTTAGAATCAATGTGGTCGCAATGTCCAACTTGCTACCTGCCGCAGAAAACAGTGAAGGTCGGGCAGCATTATCACCACATAAAAGCCAGCAGATCTGGCCTTGTATCTACATTTTTTTACACCCACATTTGATCAGACATCACCAACAATAGTTTCCGAGATGCCAAACTTGTGGTTGGTTTTGGCTTGGTGGATCATCTGTCACGGGACACAAAGCTACATCGAGCTAAAGTTGACGAGATGGAAATCGACATGTTTTGGCCATTTCAGTTGTTGCATTTGGATCAAGACACTGATGATGACCAAAAGAGCTTATCAAAGACGGGTGCAATTGTAGTTGAACAGTACTTAGAAAGCGTCAAGGGGAAATATACACAACGCATTCACACAAGTAAAAAAAGTGATTACGCACGCCATCGCCGGATCGGATTTTCACTTTGCTGTAACATATTATTCTTCTGGATAGCTTGCCAAGGCTAATGTACTGTAATCGTAACTTTCTTTTCATCCCTCTTGTTAATAACCAGCTCCTTGTTAAAAAAAAAAAAAAAAAAAAAAAATTCCATAATGGCTCCCAGTATATTCATAGTATAACCGCGGTGAAATTGCCCCAGTTGGATTTAAACCGGTTATATTTGGACTCCCTCATTGGTCAAGCGCACCAACGGCAGAGAGAAACTTGCATGAAACAGAAAGCAGCATGCAACATGCGAGAGTTTTTTCTCGTAGAGCTGTCAAACTTGAGTAAGCAAAGAGTGTTACAAATTTACATGTTTGCATGTGGGAACCTATCCATACCCAATTGCCCATGACGACTTCCTGCATGTGACTGAAATTAAATTAACATAGGAGATAAAACCGCTGATGGGTCTTTGATTTCGGTTATTAAAACATATTCTATTTCTTTTCCAAGAAAAAAGAAAAGAAAAGGGACCACAATTCCTTCCAATTAAAATAACTTCTCGGCAAAAATCTTGTAAGCAACTTAGATGAACCAGATACATTGTCGCAATGCGGTTCAGGATCAGGAGCAATATAACACAACTGTGACAGTGTAGTCGGTCTGTATGTAATCCTACAACAAATCTTGACCTAACAAACGGAAGCCTTGTCCTTCCCAGCCACTGGCCAATTGAAGCATCATTTGCATTTTGTGATGATAAAATTAAATTAATCGTTTAAAATATGAAAACCACAGAAGGCAAATTTCGATCCCACTTCTTCCTCGAAATGCGACATCGATATGGCTGTCGGGGATCTAGGCTGTTATTGATTAGGTTATAAGAATATGAAATCTGAACCATATGCTACGAGCATGGGACAGGCTGGGAAATCTCTGCCCTTTTCATGTCCAATTGTCCATACGACCATCATGTTTCTAAGAAAAAAAAAAGAACGTTAGGGCACACAAAAAATGAAGCGTGTTGCTTTTTGGGTAAATATTCAGAGAGGTGACAACGTCTGGTTCTTTCTTTTGCCCAAATGAAGCTCTCAAATCTCCTCAAAGTCTCAAATCATAATGTCAACAATCGTCGTACTGATTTTAATATTTCATTTATGTTGTAACATGTGAAATTATGTACTAATGCAGACAATATTATATTCTTAAAACATCAATCACATCGTACACTCATTTTATAACACATTGATGTGACAATTTCGTAACAATAGAACCATGTGAAGAGGAGGGAGCGCATTCGTCGTCGTTACGCTGTTCGGTTGTTGGAGCCGATAGCAAACTGAAGTTGATGGAAGTAAGGTTGGCATAACATGTGAAATTATGTATTAGTACATACAATATTATATTCTCAAAACATCAATCACATCTTACACTCATTCTATAACACATTGATGTGACAATTTCATTACAATAGAACCATGTGAGGGAGGAGGGAGCGCATTTGTCGTCGTTACGCTGTTCGGTTGTTGGAGCCGGTAGCAAACTGAAGTTGACGGAAGAAAGGTTGGCGGACCCCGTTGGTCCTTATATGTTAATCAAGAATGCAAGTGCGTGGGTGGATTATGTGCAAGGGGAGCACAACCTTGGGCCACTTCGTCCGATCGCACATCACAGGTTTGTGAATCCCGTGACATTAATTTAACAAAGCCTAAACTTTTGGGGTAGAAAAAAAAAATATACTAAGAAAAGGGAGGATCCTATTGAACAAGGTCTTGATACTGTTTGATGGAGAAAACTGTCGAGGAATATCTGATCACGTTATTTGTGAAACAAATCTCACAAAAACATATGATTTTTTTTGTATTTTGGTATCACTTGACTTCTTATCTGGTGTAAGAGTTTCTTAGTTAGGTTGCCTTACCGAAATTACCCTGATGTTAGAGGAGGTTCTAAAGTTAAATTTTACAAACACTCTGTTGTTGATCAATACAAAAGAAACGGAATAAAGAAATGCATGTACAATGAAGGTGTGCACAACAAAGGAAAGCGCCGGTGAAGGAAATTTTGAAGTCAACAATGTCGATTATTTTGAAAGAAATTCTGAAGTCAAATATCTCGTATCAATAAAAAAATAAAATAAAATAGAAATACATGCACCATGTTCCATGTAGGGGTGTGTAGTGTACAACAGAGGGATGGGTTGGACGAAGTCACAGGTGGAGCCATGTCTTGATAATGAAATGTCCCAAAACGCAGTCGTATTTTGTAGCAGTACCACCAACTGGATTATTCTTCCTATTTTCCTTCAAACCAAGCTCTCTCGTACTCGACGGGACGCAAACAAGGTCGCTCAGAGGCTGGCACGATTGGCACTGTCATTTTAGATCAACAAATGATTTGGTCTGTGGAATGATTAGATCTTACGTTTAAGGATAGTACAATTTTGTAATTTATTAGCGTGGAAAGTTCTTTTTTTCTTTGATCAGGTTAAAATTCTCAACAAAATTTTTATCAAGATCTATATTAAATGCCCCCTACCCTCCTATATGTACGTATTCTCTTTCGTATTAATGAATATCGTACTTTTGGTTACAAATAGAACATCAATTACTAATTATTATTATTATTATAATATTATGATTATTATTATAATCCTTTGTTGCTCAATTATCCCGTTCGCTTATCGATTCGGTAAGAGAAATCCCGAACCCACACGATTCTTCATCATCATCAAATCAACGGACACGGAGTCCCGGACCACATCCACTCAAGAAGCCCCACAACATTCCAAGAAAGTACTTGAGTATTAATGAAATATCTTTTGTCATTGATTGATGCATAATCTTGATTAATTTCATTAATCATTTCACACAAAATCACCTAAAGCATGTGGGATTATCTCCTGACATGTTTCGTCCAGAATGATTAAAAAGATAACTGAAAGTGTTTCTAATTACGTTAATAAAAAAATTTAAAATTATTTACTTGCTACATATGACAAGTGATTCTTCATGCAACGTCTGAACTTTTGCTAATGGTCTGTTTGTGAATGCTTATAGAAGGGTTCAAAGTGTTTTATGACAACCAACACATACTTTTAGGGTCATAAAAGCACTTTTTGAAAAAGAAACACTTAAACAGTTCTTAATAAGAGAAAAGTTGAACTCCTTAATTTGAGGAGGATTTCCTTCTCAAGATATTTTGTGACCGATTCACAGAACTTCGAACTTATGATCAAAACTGTTCATATTAAAAATCAATATATAAATATTATATGTGCACACAATCAATTGAAATTAAGGTTATTTAATAAATAAAATATAGTAAATAAATAGACGGTTCATAATATTTTTATTAATACCAAACATATACTTTTATACTATTCAATGATTACACGATCTTTTTTTTTTTTTTTTTTTTGTAGAAATTATCTTTAAATAGTAATTTTATAATATGAACGGATTAGTTAACAGTCATGAAGTTCCATAATGAGATATCTTGAAGAAGAATTCCTCCTAAATCCTTAAAGATCCAAATCTTTTCCTTCTAATAAAACCGTTTACGAGTATAAGTGTTTTCTAATTAGTATTATGAAATGCTTTTAATGGTTTAGAACGGCCCCTCAGATGTCAAAATCTCAAAAGTGGTCCACTTCAGTCTTCAGCTACTAGCCTATGCCAACTTTTGAACAAGTACCAACTTGTTCTAAAGAGTTAATAATATGCTTTGTCTGTACACAACACTGTGGGGAGATAGATTTTCGAAGCTAATTACGTGCGGCGAATGGTGTCCACTTACATCTTGGAAAATGCATTCTTTTTTTAGGTCACACGGGTTTCTATTTTTTTTGGTCGTTTTCTTTCTGAGTAGGAATTTTTTTTTTTTTTTGTTCTTTCTTTTTTCTGTTGAAAAGTAATATTTATCAAGGAGAAAAATATTACAGGCCAACTCAAAAGAAGACAACATAACTCAAAACACAGTATGCACAAAAGCCAGTCCAATAACCAAACAAACAAAAACTAAAACCCTAATCTTTATTCTCCAAGTGCAAAAAGCAGCACCTACTTTCGTCACCACAAACGTATCTCCAACGGCCACCAAGGCAACAACAATATAGAAAACAACTGACTGATTGATTCGACCAAGACATTGCAGCGCAAAAATTACAAACCCTCAACCAAAAACACACCATAACCAAATTTCGTCATCTGAAATGCTGAACCAAGGGATAGTCACTAAATTCGAATCCCCTTCACCAACTTATGCAAATATATACAAACATAATAACACAGGGATAGAACGTGAGGCTACTCTTTTTAGTAGGGTTTGGTAGTTTTATTTTTTATTTTGGTCAAAGAGGAATTTTATAACAAAGTCCAAACGAACATAGTACAAAGACAACAACCTCATAATTGAGGTAGGTACAATTGAGACGCCACTTATGCATTCATCGCATAAGTAAAAGTTTTCAAATATACCTAAAGCATAAAAAAATTAGAGATGTGGCTTGCCCCAAAAGCTAGAGTCCACCTGAAGAGGCCCAAAAGTGGCCCCTCTGAAAAATTTGATAACCCTAAAACGAAGATCACCCGCCGCCTCAACCGCCGCAGAAAAGATGGAGACGACCAACGAATAGAAAAACTGAGAGATACCACCGCATAGTGTAATACAAGAACCCATCAATGCTTCAAAGTTGGTGAAAAGAAGCCCAACCTGTAGATCAGGAAGAACCAAACCCATCCTGAACGCCACAAATCCGGTCCTTAGACGAACACAAACGCAAGCGAATGCCCAGAACCACGCTGTAACCAAAAAGGTCAGGTGGTGTAAACACCATTCTAAAGAGATAGCAGACATTTGTAGGGATGACAACATATAGTTGTCTCTGACCAAAAACAACATACAAGAGATGAGATGAAATCCCCCAAAACTGGAGTGGAAGGCAATGGCGGGTATGAGGAATTGGAGAGCATATTCGAAGTATTGGAGGCACATTGAGTGCTACTCGTCTTATCATGTTTTACTCAAATTTCAGTCCAAAGTTTTAATTATTCATTGTTTTATTTGAAGCAATTGATTAAGTTTACACACAACCACCAATGTGTCAAATATTTCCATCACGAGTGGTATGATCAATCACCTATATATTTAAGTGAAGGGTAATACGAGAGAGATTAAATTTGTAAATAAAATTTACAAACTAAATGATGTGTTACCAATAGAAATGAGCACGTTTATTAACGTTTAAGTAATAATTCAATCACTAACTCACATGTCATTTAGTTTACACAATTTTATTTACAAATTTAATCTCCATGTAACAGATAAATAATATAATTCGAACAAAGGATTCAAAACTCGAAAGTCAATACCAAAAGGATTTCCATCATATGTTAACATTAAAGGGAGTCAAATTTAAAGTAAAGCATGATGAAAAGAGTAATACCACACTTATTATTTATTTGTATTATTTCTCGAATAGAGGTAGAGCTCCTCTTAGACCAACTTTAATGGTGGACTAAAAGTGAAATTACCCTCCAAAATTTTCCTCCAAACCCACTCCAACCCAAGGAGAAAATTTGGGCTAAATGCTAAATGCTAAACCAAGGCCAAATTTCCCCCAAAATTTAGTCTAGAAATCGGAGTGGACTCTACCCAATATTTATCGGAATTTAAATTTTTTTTGATTAAAATGTTCATAAAATTAATTAACGATAGTCTACATATTTATTTTTTTTTTAAAAAAAATTTAATTTAACAAAAAAAATAGTTTAAGTTTATTCTTTAATAATCCCAGGTTAAAATTTTAGACTAGAAAGGTTACAGCAGAAAAGTTGTTTATGGGCTAAAAGCTAAATTTTTTAGGTTAAAATATTTGACTTTTAATCGAATCATTAAAGATGAAGAAAAAAAAAAAAAAATACAATGGATCATCAATGATAATATACCGCAATTAAAGAAGATCCCCAGGGGTACTTACGGCATAACGCATCCTTTTTCTCAATCCAACCGCATCTGAAAAACAAAAAAACATCTTCAAAATCTCTTCCCCTTTTATTTTCTCTGCTGACACATCTTCAAAATCTCCTTTGACCGTCGTACACACTCACACTCTCTCTCTCTCTCCTCTCTGTAAAATAAATATATAAATATTTATATATCGGTTTTCCAGAGTAGTTTTTTTTTTGGGTTTTCTCCCATCGTCATCCTTCGCCCTTTCGCCGCTGTTGCAGAGAAAACCTCCTCTGTGTTGTGAGAAAAAGGAGAGAGAGAGAGTAAGAGGAGAGAGAGAGAAACTGAGAGAAAGGCTGATCCTTTTCTTCTCTCTCACATTTGTTTCTCTCTGGCACTGCAAAAGCTTCACACATCGTTGATTGGATTGATTAAACGCAAATCTTTTTTTGTTTAAGTGCATCACTTATCTCCCTATCCATAATTTAACTCTCTCTCTCTCTGTGCGGTCACGCTTTCGGTTTATTCAAAGTTCCAAAAAGCTCTGATCCGACGGCCAGGATCTTCTCGTCCTCCATTCGTACGGCCACCTCCTCTTTATTTCTCTACGTAAGTACTTCTCCCTCTTCAAATACATAGCCTTTTTCACCTACCTTTTTATCTCTTCACTCTTTCTACGCTGATATACATACTTGGGTATTTTTATATCACTATATATACGCACTTACTGTGTTCTTTTCATTTGTTTTTATCTTGTATCTGCATAATCTTACGTTTTTAGGCTTTTGTTCATTCGAACTTGACGAATTTTCATTTATTATAAAAACCCATGTTTTCTTTGTTGAATCTGACACTTAATCTTTGATTATTTCCAACATGCAATGATTTGTAGCTTTTGAAACCGTAAATTTCGATTGCAATGATTTATAGCTTTTGTTCATTCGAACTTAACGAATTATATGACTTGTTAGCTGATATGGGGATTTTCGATTTCAACAGCTCGTATCCGATTTACTTATTCTGTTTAAATCTGCTCAGAGTATCTGTGTTTCTGCATTTCGTTTAGTGAGTGTGTTTGCTGCTTGTTAACCACATGATATCAAAGCAGTGTTTTATAGCTTTTGAAACCGTAAATTTCGAAAATTGCTTGATGGGTATTTTTGGTTACTGTTGTCTGCAGCTAAATTTGATCTTGTATATGTATGTGTGTGTCTGCTTGTATACCTTATCAGATTTTTTTAGGTTCCGGTGGCACGGTTTGGTTAACTATTAAGCTTAGTTAGTTCCTTTCAGTGTGCAGAATTGTTAGTGCGTTTATTCTAGGATGTGTAGAACTTATTTTGTTTACTGGGGTTACAAAACTAGGTTAAGAATTTTGAGTATAGATGCTTATTGTAGGGATTAGGTTTGAGGATCTTGTACCCTAAGCACACATGGGTTAAAGAGTGGGGAAGAATTGTTGATGAGCTTGCTTTAGTTTGAAATATTAGATATAAACAGATATTCGCTTGTCCAAATCAAAAACCCTCGGAAGTCTGAACTACGGGCAAATTGGGTGTGTTTGAACTTTAGATGGTGTTTGTAGGTGGAAGTGGTCTATATACGTGATTAATCGAGCGATTGTTGTATAGTTTATTTCTGAAAGTTTCTGCTGTGAATGTGTAAATTTCTAGTGAGGATAGGTAGAATTTTATGGGGGAAATTTTGTGTGGGAGGGGATAGTTACTTTATAGAGGTGCTGGATGTTTAACCTGTTGGGACTGTACCTTTATGTAGGGAAAGGTGCATCAAATTGTGTCTGACTAGATTTTCCATATCTTTCTCATATCTGTGTCCCAAACATGTAGGACTCAGTGGTTTTGTGGGAATCGAATATCTGCTTAGTAACATTCATAACATTAGACGGAATCACATTCTTATCTGGAATGGAGCCTTTATGAGACGCGACATTTTAACTTTCGCTTTTGGCCTTTGCTTTAGATTTTCATCAATCGCCACTAATCTTTCTCTCTTGAAATTTATGTTACATCAATGGCAGTAATCTTGTGTTAGGAGTTAGGAACCTATTCTGGAGGATGGGGATTCTGTATGACATGTTTTTTTAAAGCTGAGTTCTCTCCAAGAAAAAAAAACATAATCTTTTTACAGCTGAGATTTTGTGGAACTTAGTGATATTGTAAATCTGTGATAGCTTATGTGTTTAAGAACCACCACATGCATATTTATTATAATTATTAATTGGGTCATGAATAATGTACTTTCCTTAGCATATTGAAAAAAAACTAGTGTTTGTCTACTTATCATGCAAATATAATAACCTTAATAATGTTACATGTGTAGCGAACAAGTTGGCGTCTTCGTATTCAAGGCTGATGGAGCCTAATGGTCACAGGAGAGTGAGGAGAAAGGATGTTCTAGAAAATGGTGACATGGGTCAGTCAAATACAGGCGATGAACTGGATCCATGGACTGCATGGGCGTACAAGCCTCGGACCATTTCGATGCTGCTTATTGGCGCATGTTTCCTTATGTGAGTGCTCTTTCCACTAAGTAGATTCTCTATAACAATGGTAGGTTTACCTTTGATTTTATGGATTGCGAACTAATGCTTCTGGCATTCTGCATTATTTACTACAATTCCTGACAAAGCTATTGGCAGCAGATGGTTTTTCTCACTGTCGAGTAGTATTCTGATGGCCTTTTATTTTCTTCTTCTTACAGTTGTCAAATAGCAGTAGTTGAATTGTTAGCTTTCAAGTTTATGTGATTGCATTATCATGTCAAATTGTCTATCCACTGACATAGGTGATCCTATGGTGCTGTTAGGTCCCTCTATTAGGCTTACAGAATTTATTTTTCTATCGTAATTGAATTATTTTATGTTTCTGTAGTCTTTTTTTTTTTTAGGTTTAACATTGCACCTCTCTAGTTATTTGGGGGGCTGCTTGTAGCCTCCAGTGGTAGAGCATTTACCCCCCACATCCCAGACCTTAAGTCTCATATACAATTATTCATTATTGAAGCAATTGTGATCTATGTTCGTCTTACACAATTGGTTAATTGGTTTCTGTATCTTGTTGTTTGTTCAAATGTACCAGTTGGGTAAGTGGAGCCCTAGACCCAGAAAGCAGTGCATCTGGAGATGTTGTTACATCCGTAAAAAGGTTAGCTCATCTTTACATTTGGTGATAGTGTTCTCCTATTTACCTTTTACAAATCCCATGCCCACTCTTTTCCTGCAGGGGTATATGGGCGATGATTACAGTTTTTCTTGCTTATTGCTTGCTGCAAGCCCCGTCTACGTAAGTTCTTGGATTGAGCTAGTTGTATAATGGTTCTGCTAATATTCTACTGGATGGTTGTTTTGGTAATGAATGGGAATAAAAGTGTTTATATGGAGATAAATGGTTGTTTGGTTTTACTTTTCCTTGTTTGTTTTTCCTATATGCAAGTGCTGCTTTTGCTACTAGCATTCACAGTAGTATACTGGTGAGGAATTGTTAGCCTTATGCTCTATTACGTTTCATACAGGGTTCTTATCAGACCTCATCCTGCAATTTGGCGCTTGGTTCATGGAATGGCTGTTGTTTACCTTATTTCTCTCACATTTTTGCTTTTCCAGGTAAATTTTTCTCATTATTAGTACTTTTTTTGTATTATTATATATGCGATTTTTCTGTGTTTGTGTATACATGTATGTATGTTGGTATATGCATGTATAAAAACCTGGAAGTTTGTTTGTTGGGAGTTCTAATGTCTTCAGTTTTGTGATAGTTATTTTTGGTTTCTCGCTTGACAGAAACGTGACAGTGCTCGGCAGTTTATGAAGTTTCTCCATCCAGATCTTGGTGTTGGTAATGCAGTTAAAATTTTTCTTTTAAATACCATTAACATGGAACTTTAGCTGATAAGTTTCTAAGATTAAACTTTCTGATCTAATTATGGGTCATGCAATTCCTTTTTCTAAACTTTTAATATGGTATTTTAGCTGACAAGGGATATGCTTTATTATTCAATTCCTTATGCGGATGAGATTCGGAAACATTTTATACTCAAATTATTTTGGATGCCTTTGGTTGGCCGCATGATCAAGGTATTCATTCTTTGTTTGTATTTCTTGATTTCATGCAGAACTTCCAGAAAAATCTTATGGTGCTGATTGTCGCATATATTTGCCTGAAAATCCTACTAACAGGTTTAAGAATGTTTATGTATGATTTCTTCTTTCACACCATCCATTTTAATTGTTTCTCATGTATCGTTATGTTCTCAATCTACATCAGTACACCAGCTTATAATACATCTTTCTCTTTTCTCCCCAGGAAACACTTTTTGATGAATTTGTTGTGGCTCATATAGTTGGGTGGTGGGGAAAAGCTATATTGATCCGCAATCAGCCCCTTCTGTGGGTGCTTTCCATCGGATTTGAGCTGATGGAGGTTAGTTTCTTGACCTTATACCTAATTTGATGTGTGCTCGAGTGGTTTACTTGATTTTAATTGAAAGCTTATTTGGCACGTTCAGCTTACCTTCCGCCATATGTTACCGAACTTCAATGAATGCTGGTGGGACAGTATCATTCTTGACATTTTGATCTGCAACTGGTTTGGTGAGAACTCTCTTACATTATAACGTGCTTCTATTGTTAAGTTGTAGCAAATAGCATGCTACTTTTTGTTGACAATTCAGACTGTTCTTGATCGTATCTACCATCAGTATATCCACAAATAATGGTTGCAGCCTCCTAAGCCTTCTGATTGGGTGCTTTGCAGGTATCTGGGCAGGAATGCATACGGTTAGGTACTTTGATGGAAAAACATACAAGTGGGTTGGTCTAAGCCGTCAGCCGAATATTATTGGAAAAGTATGTTTGGAATTTCAATTACGCATTTTGGTTGACCATGAATGCGCTAATTTTGCGAATTGGCTTGATGATTTTTTTTTTTCTTTTCACTGAAGCGGTTATAATAAACTGAAAGTAATCATATGACATGGGATGTTTCTCTAGCCACTGCAATCATAATAAATAGTTACTGTGATTTCGACGACATTATTTGAAATTGGTTTTCGGGGCATTCAGCATCATTATATAATTTGTGATTTGGGAGATGCAATCTTTATTGTTTCAGGTCAAAAGAACACTGTGGCAATTCACACCAGCTCAGTGGGACAAGGACGAATGGCATCCCTTGCTTGGTCCATGGCGTTTCATTCAAGTCCTCACTCTTTGTATTGTATTCATGACAGTAGAGCTTAATACATTCTTTCTTAAGTTCTGTTTATGGATTCCTCCCCGGAACCCCTTGATAGTGTATAGGTTGATCCTGTGGTGGCTAATTGCAATTCCGACAATTCGCGAGTACAATTCATACCTTCAAGATCGGTACCCTCTCTCTCTCTCTCTCTCACACACACACACACACACACCCTACATTTCATCATCTACTTATTTGCATTGATGTAGTTCACGCTTGCTCAATTACTGGATTTGCAGAAAACCAGTGAAGAAGGTTGGGGCATTTTGTTGGCTTTCCGTAGCTATTTGCATCATTGAACTTCTCATTTGCATCAAGTTTGGACATGGTATGTCCTTTTCCTCGCGCTCCTTAGTTTTGTGAAATTTCTTCGTCCATTGATTGTCAGATGCTAATTTACGTGATTTGTTTTTATTGCTTTTGATCAGGATTATATCCTAAGTCAATGCCATTATGGCTGGTAACGTTTTGGGCATCTACCGGAGCGGCCCTCGTAATATTTTTGATAATTTGGTCGTGGCAACTGCATCAAAGTTTACGGCGAAAGAGGCAATGAATTTACAATTGTGTACATCATTCTTTGACTTGCTTCTTCGTCTCAAAAGGGTTTCGATATCGATCGGCATTGTAAATATTAATCAGCTTTTTGTTAATTCCTATAGATTAGCGGATCACACTTCCTTGAGTAGAGGATTTTATTCATTTCCTAGGCAGCTCGTAAAATTACTGGTTTTGTCCCCATTACCGGCAGAAAATTTTCAAGGATGAGCCTTTTTCAACCGATTTCTTCATGTTGTAATGTTTAGTATATTTCTTTAAATTTTAAGGAAAACTAATGAAAATAGCTTGAAAACTTTGAGCTTTAACGACGAGAACAAAATAAAGGGTAAAGTGAATAGTATCAGGATTGACTTTTTGGTGTAAAAATATGGTTTTTCGTTAAAGTGAACATTATTGGGAGTTTTTCGTTTAAGTTCCTTAATTTTTATTGTTATATAATTTAATTTTTTATGGGTTATGAATATATTATGGAATGTTCATATACGTGACCTGTTTCACTCGTTCAACGCGCGGAAATGTTCGTGAAGAGAAAACTGTACTGTGTAGGTGTACCGATTGTGAGGCACGTCTCACAGAAGCACGAGACTTATATTTCTTACCACCCCGACTCCATATTGGTTATATCCGGCTTGAGAATTCTCTTAACTAGCCCGTCCCTCGAGTGGAAATTGAAAATGGTGACCGTAAAAGTATGTTCTGTAAACAATTTCAATGATGGAATTTGCAAATCACAATTATTCTTTACCAAATGGTATTACGACAATGGCTATACAAATTACAGACCCAAATGAAACGAAACGACTCATTTTAATCAAAATCAATGTACCCCCTATTAGGCTTAAGGTGAACTTTCTTACCTTCATGACCACACATTACATTTATTTCACTCTCCGAAGAATCTATGATGCTGCTTGTTTTCTGTTACCTTTTTCCGTTAACTCGTCATTTACATATCTGGCTCGTTTATTAGGATTGTTATTCAGCTTCGATGAAGCTAGCAACATCCGAAACAATGAAAGATCCTTGGCTTTTTTTTTTTCTTCTTCACTCTCCTTAGAATCCATGATCCTGCTTGTTTTCTGTTACCCTTATCCACAACATGCCCTTCATTATTCAGGCCATCCCATTTCTTAGAGGACAAGCTTCTAAACCCCTTTTTCTCATACAATTTTTCTACATAGAAGCAAATGGGGCTCTGGTTTTTTCTTCCAAACAGTCCGTCCTCGAACAATCTCTTCATCTTTAAGGTTCCCATTTGTTTGGAGGAGATGTGTATATCTCAATTGTTGCTTCTCAAAGGAGCCCAAAAACCCGCCGTTCTCAAGAATTCCAGCTGCCAGAGAAAATCCATCCGGTAAACCCGTGTCTTGATTCTCTTGTTTGAGTCTCTCTATGAACTTTCCATCTTCTGGATCGCAAAGCGATTGAACTATATCTGAACTCCCACATTCCTTTCTGTATTCTAGTGTGATTCCAGTCAGTTGGTGAGACTCCAAAATATCGTCAGGAATCGTCTGTCGAAAACAAAGATTAAGTCATTTAATTAAGATTTAATTATGGTAAGAAAACATAAGTGACCGTTTAGAACTACTTCTGTAGGAAGCACTTAAGTTTTTCTGTCAAACGTGGTTAGAAAACACTTTTAACCCTTTCAGAAGCAGTGCCAAACATGCCTTTAATTAGAGAGGGGAGAGAGACTTTTTACCTCAAGCATCCATCTTACATACTTGACATTGTTGACATGGTGGTTCATGTCCAAATCACTTCTCTTGGGCTACCAAGTAATAAGAAATTGCATATTCAGCATATTTTCAATTCTCTTAACTGTATATGGATGTAGTTTTGAGACGTTGGAGTAAATTGGACACGAAACATTACCTTCAGATCGCTGTTGACATACTTAGCATTGTTGTCCAACTTGACGATTTTCTCAGGGACATCGTCTGTGATTGCCTGCTTCTCTATGAACCAAGGTGCAATCTCACCCCTCACTCCCTCTGGCATTTTCGAAAGGCGCCTAGTTTTCCGGTTCATCATCACCCAGGTGCTGTTCCACGTTTTGTACAACCATGATTAATCAATGACAAGACTGAAATAAATCATTCATGAGCAGATCATGAAAGTGATTGGAAGTTTGAGGAAATTCTACAATACCTGGTCGCACGAGCGAAAACATGGCCCGTGGCTTGGCTTCGGATCAACCAGTCTCGCTTCATACCATTCTTCCCTGATGCTTGAACCCAAGTGTCGATTTCCAGTACCTCTCCCCTGCAGGATGTGATTGTCACATTTTTTTGCTTGAAATTTGTTTCATACTGCAAAGAGTCCTACTTCCTAGCTTTAAAGATTATAGCAAAAAGAGAACAACTCCGGGTTTGAGTCCCCTCTCTGAGGTTTAGATTAGTTTAGAATATCGCTCTAATCAAAAGAAAAGGCGATGATTGGACATACCAGATTGGATACTGGTCAACTTGAACTTGCATTCTGGACACAACCCAAATAAGATCATTCCTCATCATTTCATGTGTTGCTCCAAATCCATCACTCAGGAGTCCAGACATCCACACATGATTCAATGCAGTTTCCTGCATCATACCGGAAGAAAAAAAAATCCGTACTTTCCAAACAATGCAACACAATCTTCACATAACTTGGATTGATTAATTATATCACCTGCAGCAGATTGAGGACGCTCTCAAGTGTTGCAGTTTTATCCGGCCCGACCTCATAGGACCTGATGACAACCCCCTGCCTGTACCCCACGCCACCTTCGATGCTGAACCCTTGTCGGAAATGATCAACGGACTGCTTGGTTGTCGGAATGTTCTGTCGGGCTTGCTGCTCAGTCACGTAGTCATTTACTACTAAAGTCATGGAAATGGAAGTCGTTGCCACACCGGCCATTTCAACTTTGGTTGCCGGTTTCTTGGAAGTTCCATCGATCTTGATATTGCTCAGGTTTTGCTTATTGGGATCATAGCTATCTCTGCAGGAAGAACGCCTTACAGGGAAGTAGGCAAGATGAGAGAAGGTGGCCATGGCATCAATTTATTTATTTTTTGTTTTTTTATTTATTTTTTGTTTTGGTTGGAAGAAAGGTTGAAATTTGGAAATGGGGAAGGAGATGTTTAAATAGTTGTTTGTGCCTTGTGGACGGAAAAAGTTGGGAAAAGTGAGGAAAAAAAGAGGAAGGAAACATTGTTATTAGGAGTCGTAATTGTACATCTCAAAGATCTGCCTTGTATTTGTTGAAGGCTAAGTTTTTGATTCCCCAAAATTTTGAGTGCTACACAACACATAGGTTTGATCGATTTCACAAAGCAGACAAAAGGGTTAGAGTGTATATGTTTTGTCACACTTCTCTTTTGTTCATCTCATGTTTTTATTTTGTCTTATTTTATGTTTTTTAACATAGGAAGTATCCTACTACACATTGATGACAGACTAATTTTCATAATTATGAAGCTCCGGTCTCACATGAAACGGCAACGTACTTTCAACCTTTGGATCAAACAACGCACCAAAGCAAAGTCGATGATCCAAGAAATGTGTCCATGAGAGTTCAAGCTTGGGTTAGGATTTCCAAACCTTTGCTTTCTTTCCACTTGACCAATCCCTTGGGCGGAGTGAAAATGCAAACCTAAGTGTTTTATTTCTACTTGGTTGAAGGGGTTTGAGGGTCCACCCACATGAATGCGAGAACATGATATATTTTATTATGAGTTTGATGCTAGCTCATTTTGAATTGCTTTTATAAGAAACACACAAGTGTCTTTTTTTATAAACGTTTTAATTAGAAACACATTGAAATTAAAAAACATTCGGTAGGTGTTTCCTTATAAAACGCTTTTATGACCTAATAAGCAGTGTTAACTTTTTTTGCTAAACGGAATTAGGGGTGCTTATAGTGTTATAAAACACTTTTAATCATTTCAAAAACCATCTCAAACAAGTTTTGCCCATTATAATTTACATACCCTATTTTTCAAATTCAACCGAAAAAAACCTTGTAAATACAAAAGTAACTCAACGGCTCTGATTTCTTTTACACACCAACAATGGTCCGGATAAATTGATCCTTAGACTCCAGATACTAAGATCTAGAGTGGATTCAATTCCTCTTTCTAAACTATCTATAACCTAAACCAACATTAACCAATAGCTTTGATTCTTGTTTTTAAATGTTACCTTTGTTTTTACTACACTCTGAGAGGCCCACTTCTATGTCTGTCCCCACACTGATATTTTTTGCACACCGTTATTTTATTTTTGGCCATTAATTTTACTTTGAAATAATTCTAGATGACCCCTAAAAAGGAAGTGTGCGGAAATAGGCGTGCGGCGAAATTATTTCACAATTTGCTTGCAAGTACCACATGCATTTACCATTTGTACGGTCAAATGCCAATCCAATATCATATTTGACGTCAGGTGGTGAAAGTTTGTAATACTTATAAGTATTGTAGCTATTTTCCACAATCTGATATGATCAACATCGTAAGACGTGCAAGGAGTTGCATTTGCACTTTGAAGTCGAAGAAGCGTCTAATTACGAAAATCAAACAAAATTGTATTTGTTTAGTACAAGGGATAATGCTAGGTAGATTATTTATATAAATCATATTTTGCAAACTATATAACATAGTTGATAATTAGATTATTATGTAGGTATTAACGTACTTATTTTTTACTGGCAATACGTCTCATCATTTACAAATATGGTATTGCCTCAAAGAAGGTGAATTACCACAAGACGAGCAGTGGTCAATTTTCCACTGCCTCCTGAAGTAAATTCTTGGGGTCCAAGTATCCTCCAGTGCCAAGTTGCAGTGTGAAGTCAAACTCTCATCAGTATTCTTCTGCATCCAAGTGCCGGATAAATCTAACCCGTTGGTGGCATCGGCCAACGTCGGGATTTCAACATCGGCGTAGTCAAGAAATGGCTGAAGTAGCAGGAGAGAGGGACTGGAGGTTAGGGATGGATGCTCTGCATACAAAAGCCAACAAACAAGCAAATCCAAGGGGAGAATTATGAAATGTGTCCATCAAACATAGTGAGACAAGAACTACTTCTCTTAAACTAAACACTCTTCAGTTAAAACAATTATTAAACCTAAGCACGACCGGTGTTTACCATGTCGATTATCCAATCGCTTTCCCTTGGTCGGGTTACGATAAGCATCGGATTGAACAATTCGAATTTGGACTTTTCGCACTTTGCTATTCAACGTTAAGTGCATAATTAGTAACTAATTAGCATATAAACAACATTCCTCTATCCAACATTGCTAAATCAAAATACTCATAAAAAAGAACGAAGGAGGCGATTATAAATTAGAAAGTGACTGTGTGCCAAGTGATACTCTTCGGCATCCTTTGCCAACATCTTGTTCACGCTACATACAAGTGCAGCAACCAAGGAGATGCAGACCAACAATCCTGTATTCATTTCTGCCCGGAAAGGTAACCAAAAGTAGTGGCTGTTTTGTTTCAAGTTGAAGTTCTACTTGCCACATATTATGCATCTCGGAAATAATCGAAAAGACAGGGCAAACATGATGTGCGTAAAACCTCCAACAACATAACAGCATCCATTGGGTTTTTGTGAAAGAAGATCAATGGAGGCTGTGATGCTCACAGAAGATGAAGCGTGAACAAGATCATTCGAGACTGGCCGAGAAACAAATAATAGTTACAGGAAGGCTGTCCAAGATAACACTACAGGAACACTAACCGATATTTCAAGCTGAATTGGATAAACTAGAAGAAGTTAAATTTTCACCATCTGCTCAGTACCAAATGAAATTCTTATGTTAAAGACAAAAAGTAATACATCTGATTTTAAACTGGACAAAACCCATATTCGTTACAACAATACAGAACATGGCAACGCTTCGCTCTTTCCTATTACCTCATGAAACAAAATAAGGAGCAAAAGAATGAACCAATAATCTTGTCAGATATTTTATTTGGAACGATATGATACACTTGAGAGTTTATCTGTACACTCTGATGTTGACTCTTCCGAAAAAATGGTTTCTGATAGTTAAAAAATCAATAATCCAATTCAACAACTGATTTCGAGTATATTCTTCTAAAGTTAGAAACGGCACAACTCAACCTTTCAAGTTAAAGGTTTGCCAAACTCACCAATCACCATCAGCAACGCTATTTAGCAAGTCACCTGTAACATTAAACCAGGAAAGCTGTCAAGCCAAGAAGAATATTAAAAGTTTGAGAATGTGCTATTCTGATGCAAACATTGAAAGAAGATATCTTACTTGCACCATAACTCAAGGGAATTTGCCAAGTGGTTTAACACAATAGCTTTCTCTCAGAGTTGAGAAATCCCTCTTAATATCTCATGCCACTCTTCGACTAATCAGCTGAGAACCCTTGAACACCAACAATAGCCTCGTCAATTCTTAAAAACGAGCAGTTCCTTCACTAGCTTGAAATTAAACTCTCAAGGTATCGAACTGCATGCAGTTGAAAGTCTTTGTCTAGATGCTTAAAAAGTGCACTGTGTGTACAAGAATCAGGCTTGATCTCTCTGTCAAGCATCTGTTTATACAACCTCAAAGCCTCCTTCCAATTGCCCATGTTGCAGTTCTCATTTATTAAAATAGTGTATGTATACTTATTTGGAGCTATTCCTTTCTCCTCCATCTCAGTAAAATACTCGTAAGCCTGATCCATTCTCATCACTTTACAGAGACCATTTATCAGAGCATTGTAGGTGACCACATTTGGCCAAATACGCTTCTCTTGCATCTCTGAGAAGTACATATAAGCCAGTTCTAGTCTCCCCTTAGCCGCGTGTGCATGAATCAATACCGTGTAAGTTATCACCGAAGGAGACAAACCTTTGTTTAGCATCTCATAGAAAACCTCTCTTGCCTTCATGAGCTGGCCACTTTCCAGGTGAGCATGAATCATGCTAGTATATGTTATATGATCTGGAACAATACCGTCACGTACCATTTTCTGCAACAATGTATATGCTTCGTCTAAATTGCCCAATTTACATATCCCATTCACAAAAATATTGTATGTGAACAAATCAGGAGGGAAACCCCTTGCTTGTATTTCTTCTTGCATGCTAAATGCCTTGGACGGGTCACCAAGCCTCAATTCCCCCACTATTCGAGTATTGTAGGCAAATCGATCTGGCTCCACTCCTTTATGCAACATCTCATCAAATAACTCTTTAGCCATCGATAAATTTCCCGCATTGCAAGACCCATTTACCAAGATGGTATATGTAAAAACATCAGGGAAAATTCCTTGATTCGTCATTTCATTTTTAAGCTGCCCAGCTACAGCCAAGTCTCCGGATCTGCAAAGGCCATCCATAAGTGTGTTATAGGTGACGACAGTAGGAGTGAAAGTTCTATGCCTCAACTCATCAAACAATATGAAAGCAGCCCCCAAGTTCCCTGATCTACAATACCCGTGTATCAGAGTGTTGTATGAAACTATATCCGGCATTACATTTCTATTTAACATATTGGAAAACTGATCCCTGGCATCAGTCATTCTTCCCCACTTGCAGAGGCCATACATTAACGAATTATAAGTAGCCACGGTGGGATTTGCTCCTTTAATTGCCATCTCTTTCTCAAGAGATAATGCCTCTTCAAGAAGACCATTGTTGCAATACCCGCAAATCAAAGGGTTATAAGTGAATGCTGTAATCCTTAATCCCGCTTTCATCATTTCCTTGATCAGTCCCTTGGCCTGCTCCAGCTCCCCTTTCTTTGACAGCCCATTGATCAACACATTATACGTTACATCGTTCGGAAAACATCCTCTTTTTTGCATTTCTGACAAAAGTTCAAGTGCTTGTTGCACTTCCCCTTCCTTGCAGAAGGAATCCAACATGGTATTATAGGTAACAATCGTCGGCTTAATCCCAGCCTCACCCATCATTCTGTAAACCTCTTTAGCTCTCGTCACAAGGTGTTTATTTCTAAGTATCCTAAGAACCCTATTGCAGTTCTTCACGTCCGGCAACAACCGGTTTCGAATCATCTTATCGAAAATCGACAGACATTGCTCAAGCATCAATTTTTTCGTATAAACCCAGAACAAGAGATCGAGAAGCTTCAACGAAACTTTCGAAAACATATACTCATTAATCAAAACATCCACAATCCCATGCATATTTACACTAATCACCCTCTCCATAACCCAATACGCCGGCCTCATCAAATTGTTGTGAGCCAGAATCTCAAGAATCACACAGAAGGCAAACTCCGATCTTTTAAAACCCGGTTGGCCCTCCACCCATCGGAAGAACCTCAGAGCGATTCTGGGTCGGCTCCTAATCTCGACGAGGACTCGAACAAACAAGTCGGGGTCGACAATAACAGCTTGGAAACGATCGGAGACCCACTTGGAGTTGCAAAAAGCCCAGGGCTTTTCGTCAATGGTGTCGAAAATAAGGTCCCGGTATTGAGTCTCGGAGAAAGCTGCGGTGGGTAGTGAAGTAGTGGAGGAGTAGTTGCGGAAAGACCCAGAAAGGGGGGAGAAACGGCGTACCTTGAGAGGACGGTGGAGTACGGCTGAGGCAGTGGCGGCTAAAGCATTTGAAGCTCTGGCGCAGAGGGTCATTGAGTGGAGAGGCGACTCATCCGGAGGCGGAGGATCCGAGAGAGGGGGTGGGGGGTGTGGTGGTGTTTGGGTTTTGGGTTTTGGGTTTTGGGTTTTGAGTAACCTCAACGTTGGTGGAGGTTTATTGGGCGGCTCAGATCGAAGTGAGCTTGGGGAAAGTGGTTGAAGCAGCCATGGTGGCTAGTGGATTGCGGACCCGAGCCCAAACCCAAAACAGAGGACTTGCCGACTTGGTAATCTGAATTTCAAGTTTACTGTTAGGTTTTACACTTTCACCGATTCTCCTGTTATCCATGGGCAAGGGGAATGTTAGCAACTTCTCATTTACACACTTTCTTTATTTAATAATTCGTCATGATTTTTTATCACAATGATGGAAAAATATTATGTCTTTACATAACAACATAGATTCAAATCTCGTTGGTGACTTACTAACGCTATTGCTCGACTCAAAAGAAACAAAAATCCGTTTATTTTATATTTCACACTTTAAAAATTAACTCGATTTAAAATCAACTAAACTCATAATTGTTTAGACGAACTATGTTATCCAATTTTTTTTATGAAACTACGTTAGTTGAACACTTAAATTTTAACACCGGTAATCGAAAATAAGACTACCACGCAATCTTAAATGATGAGAATGAGAACTCAAAAAATAAAACGAGAAAGTCTAACCGAGAATATCAATAACATCTCATTAGATTGTATGTATACCTCACCAAACAAATACTGTAATTGTACTATTCAGAATTTTATGAATTACGACAAATAACCCAAGTGTCTTCCTTTATTTGATCACACATGTCACGGGTGATAAATATTCTATACTCTAAAAGGTCAAAGTGATACCGTCAAATTCAACGAGTTGAAAAGATGATTGTTTGTATGTGATGTGACACATCGTGGTATACGCACCCTTAATATACACCATAAGATTGTATGGTTGTAAGCCATGCATCGATACCTCCTTTAAAAAATCGGTATTAAAAAGCAAGTCTTGCATGAATGAAATAAATTAAACTCTTGCATAATGACGTGAATTCAAATTCTATTGATAGATAATTTAACACATAGTCTAACAAAATCTATCATTTGACCAGGAAAAAAAAAAAGAAAAAAAAAAAAGAAGCAAGTCTTGCTTGTTTGTGTTTGATGTGAAACAATGATAGAGATTATACGCCTTGCGATTATGATAGACATGAACCAGTTCTCTACTTTTGACGATCCATTAATTGTTGAAGAATTGCCTGTCAACAACACAAACCAACAGCTCATGAAACCCAAGTGGTTTGCTACACGTTATCTTCGACATTAAGATCGGCGAATATGGCATAAAACCTAACGTAAAGTTCTAATACATGCTAAACCTTTTCCTACATAGTGATTAAATTCTTTGTATGATCGGTTGCAGTTGATCTTTTGGTGCATTTTATCCCCTGCATATGCAGGAAAAAAAAAAATTCTTGTAGTGACTTACGGGACAGGATCCGTATGATTTCATCCCCTGATGTAGTTCATTACATCATGGGATGAGACTAAAAGTTTTACAGGACTGAACTCAACAGATTGATTCTGTCCTCTGTTGTCTGCAAATCCAATTAGCTCACATTGTCGGAGGTGTTCGAATGCCTGCGGAAGTGAAAAGTGAAATATTCTGCTAAATGGAACATCGCACGAATATTTGTTATGACACAATTTTAGCAAGGAGCTATGCATACCCGTAAGCAAACATTTCTTGCGAAATGGTCAGCTGTCTTGACGGAATCATGTATGCTTTTGTACTCTGCCACATATGCCAAACATGTACGTGACAACTTAATAGGACTTGGAAAGAGAAGACTCAGACAGTCACCTTTCATTACAGCGTTGAAATTGTAAGAGTTCTGCTCTTTAACTTCCAACCTCTTCATGCATACCAGAATGTAAAGTTCCAATATTGAGCAATCTGCATGAAACCATTGATTTTCATAAGAAGAAAAAAAGAGCGAAGAAGAAGACAGAAAACAAGAGGTCATTGCCTTGCTTCCCTTGTGGTTATATACACAAGTTTTTGGCCGGCAGAAATGATGGATATGAGAGGAACAAAGAATACAGACGATGAAGTCCAACAAAGCAAGATAAAAATTCTCAGACCTTTTACGCATTCCAACTTTGGATGCCTTTGGATATTAGAAAGCGTGGTTTTGAAGTTTCCGGCGACAGCATTCCAGATTCTAAATCCATATCAGAAAGAGCACGGAATCTAGTACCATGGTCCACGACCAGTAACTTCAGTATATTATGAATGATGAATACGAAAAGCAATAGGATCATTCAATTCTTTCAGATTCAAAAGAAAAACTTACAGATATCTCAACAAATGTTTGACAGTTGAATCAAGATTCAGGTATGTATTAACAATCTCTTTAAATCTCTCATCAGCCAATACAGTCTGTAAAATGTCAAGGACTTTACAAGCTGAATGATCTTATCTGCTAGAATACTGTTAAAATGAATTTTTGTTTTTTGTTAACATGAATATTCAATATTATCTCATTAAAAGACATAGTTAGGAAAGGATACTTGAAGTTTTGCATTCAATACAATAGCATAGTCTGGAGGAAAGCTCGGGTCTGTTGGCAATAGTAAAATGTGCTCCAACAATCTGCCTCGTTTGGAAATTAAGAAAATCAGAAAAACAATTATTATACCAGAAGTGTCCATATTTGGGAAGAAGCAATAGTAGCACCCAAGTCATAAGTTAGTAACTTTACTGTTGTATGTCTTCATAAGCAGGAGGAAGAAACAAAAGCTTTCTATGTGAAAACCGAGATCTCACTCTTTTTTGTCCAAAAGCATATCAGCATCCTGCATGAGAAAGTCTTCTCAACTTTGATGCAACTAATCCACATTTCTGCTAACATTATATCTAGGCATTCACATCACAGTTATGGCAACAAAAGTTGACAAGGGAAAAATAGGAGCAACTTTAAAGCAACATACCAGTCGCGAACTCACACCAATGACAACAGCTTGAGATGTCACTGACTGCATTGCATCAAGTAAACTATAAAGCAATCTCTGTTTTATCTGTAAGGAACCATAAATGAAGAGAAATATTAGAGTTACTGATTGTTTATTTTTATTCTATAAATCCAACAAGAACAAGAACCTCTTTAAGGTGTGTATATGTTTAGTTTGTAAGTCGTACACTTCTTACACCTTATATGTTGCATAATATTCATATACCAAATGATTTCTTGTCTTAATATTTATACTTGACAACTTGACACTTCAACCAAAAGCACCCAACCAGTCAATTTTAAGAAAACAAATATGCTCGTTTGAGCTGCCTGACCAAGCAAACCCTTTTCATGAAAGCTCCAGTAGGCAGACAAAGTAGAAGATATATTTTCTCTAGGTTCTTTACTGCATCTTTGCATTGTCATTCTTCCAACATTACGTTTCAGTAGACCAAAGAGTATGCTTGTTCAATATGTTTCAGTCTGCACAATCTTTTTCTTCAATAAAAGCTTAAATTGCTCCTTATGAAAGGATAAACTTTCCTGCAGCTTCCAGTGTAACTTCGCAGTCCCAGATAAGATTCAAAAAACTTTACTTGCTAATTAATTGCTTTTCACAAATCTTCACGGGTTTCAGAGAAAGATGCAGCCAACGATAAATCATGAATGTCAAAGAGCAAGGCTGCAGAAATGAAAAACAAATGGGCAAAGGATGATGAGGTCTTACAACAGCAAACAAGTCAAACTCATCGAGCACAAAGATAATTGTTTTATGTGCTAATCCACACTCCCTAATTAGCAGAGAAACAAGTCTGTCAGAACTTCCAAAGCATACGAATAGCACCAAGAAAGCTTTACGCGTATCTTAACATGGCTATCATAAACTGGGAGTTATCATCAAACGATGCCTACAAAAATGATCACCACATCAAGAAACCATAAGTTTTCGGAAGTACAATGCTACAAAAGTGGTTTCCGATAAAACTACGCACTTACCATTCTTGAGAACACCAACTGATGCTCCATGCATAGCTGCCTAGCGATTTCCTGAATAACCAACAGCCGTATCAAATAAAGGGAAAAACATAATAATGTTACTGTCTGAGATTCCTGAATGATTCATCACAATTTCAACCCCGCCATGAATCAACCTTGAACGCGCAGTTGTCACTGCTATGTAAAAGACCACTCAACCTAATCTGCAGCACAATGTCCATTCCAAATTAAACTGCATATAAACATTAAACCCGGAAAAAAATCGAAAAAAATCAAAGAAATTATTATGAAGGGAAGTGAAAAATGCAAGCATGCCACTGAAATCATATCAGGAAATTCTTGTAATAAATCATTGAGCACAAGCTCCAACAGCTAAAACACGAGTAGAGTAAGAAAATCAACTGTATGCTACAATTATAAGAGGACTGAAGAGAAATCACAATAGAAAATTTGGGGGGCATACAGCAATTTTTCCGGAACCACGGGGACCCAGAAGCAAAATGGAGTTGCAGGCCTCGGTGATCGAACTCGAAACTAAAAATTTCAACTTGCTGCAAAAACAATAAATATGAGAAAATCAAGGACAAAAAGCCCCCAATTTTGATTTAAAAAAAAATGAAATTAGGATCGAAGAGTGTGATTTGAAGAAAATTAGGGGCCTGTAGTTTGAGTCATCGGAGTGAGAGAGAGCTTTGAAGGCGAAATTAGGGTCGCAGAGCCGGCTTCGGAGCAGAGTTAGGGCTTTCTCCGCCGGATTTTCCCGCGCCATTTCGCGAAGCGAGGTCACAGAGAGAGATGATAGGAGAGGGAAAGGGCGGGAAGGAAACCGAAGGCCGAAGTTAACCATGGGCCGAACTGGACCTTTTTGGTGGGCTGAAATTTAAACCGAGAAAGTGTTTATAAGGCCCATTCTACTTCACCGGCGCATAGTAGAAAACAAATAGGGAACCAGCTACCATGCGCCATTGGCTGCGATTCCAAAAGATCGTTCTCCCGAGCTGAAGAAACAAGAACCAGTCATTCAGAGTCATACGTCGTTCAGTTTTTGATATAAAAGGAAAGCGAGTACA